CGGTTGAGAACTCACACTCGTTCAAGTTGTGACAGTGTAGTATCCTCATCAATTGTGCTTGGCACTCTTAGTTGCACCGCCATACGGAGTATTTGGGATGTAATCGAAAGATTGAGAAGGAACTGTAAAGCTTCGACTTCGAAATAGGCTAGACGCAAGGGCTAGTCGCAGTTCTCATAATTTATAATTTTGATGAACAAGTCAATTTCAAAATTTTCAAGTAAAATGTGGTTGTATGGCGCATCCCATATTGATTGACCAGAGTTTTTTGCATTGGTGGATATCTTCTTTGTAATTTTTAGCTAGCATTTTCAGGTAATTGAGGTTTGTCGAACAAATCTCGACGCCATCTGGCCGTATCTTTTAGTGTCGCTTAAACAGGCGGATTTTATAGCAATAGATTTGGTATGTGTTAGTTTTTTTTCCAGAGAGTAGAAGTAAATAGCCATGTAAGATATGTTTGATTTCGCCATTGTTCAGGAATTATCCGGGCTCGGATCACGTCAAGCAAGTTTTGCTAAAAATGTCGGTGATCGGTATACAGCGCTATGTGAAGCAGCGAAAACGAGGTTAGTAAGGAGATTTTCAGAGTTTTGATAGAGCCTCGAGGAATTGTGATAACCTCGCAACAGTCCCTTTTTAATAACGCTGCGATTATCAGGTGTAAACAAATAAATAAAAAAGCGTTTGTGTGATTTCAGAAGTATTCTTTCACTTGGGCTAGCATTTTTCAAGAAAGCAGGACAAAGTGAATCGAAAAGACGACTGAAATTTTCTTGTCAAGTAAGTTGAGCTGAAAATACCTACCATGTATGCTTATAATTTAATTAGCTAATTCAAAACCGTCGCACAGACTCTTGCCAAAAATTTGGTAAGTCATGGAGAGCGGAACAGTACGGGTTCAAAAATAAATGGCGTAATCGTCTGTAATTTGGACGCACCTCTCCATGGTAGTTGAGCGGTATCGAATTTTATTCTTGAGAATATGTTCACCTTGAAAACTAGGGCTCAAATTCCGTCCGTGGATCTCGCCTACTTTTGGGTCTTGCTTCAATTTCTCCCTCCCCATGCAGTATGTTGAAAATTTCGTTCTTTTATGATTTTTCTACTTTGTTAATGGTCCAGGAATACGCCTAGGTGCGGTGCACATGTTTATTTAACTAGCACAAAATTATGAAGCCAAAAAGT